AATTTTGCTGGCTCCATGGATTATCCCCTTTGTTTTTGGCGATGAATATTTGGCCTCCATCACCCTATTAAGGTGGCTGGCGCCCATGCTCTTTGTGGGGGCTTTTGCCCATTTATATTTGCAACAAGGCCTGCTAATTTTAGGCAAAGACAAAGTTTATATGTACCTGGTGCTTATTACCGGCTTGCTGAGCATTGTTGTAAATTACTTCTTTATCAGTATTTGGCAAGATACAGGTGCGGTAATGGCTCGTTTAACAACGGAAGTGGTGCTGGCTATTTTGGCGGGCATGGGCTTTTATAAAGCAGCAAAGGAATGAAGCAGGTGGCAGTGAGCGTGGTAATGAGCGTAAAAAACGGGCTTCCCTACATCGAGGAAACCATTCAATCGGTTCTCAAACAAAGCTTTACCGATTATGAATTTGTAATTGTAGATGACGGCAGTACCGATGACACCGTAGCCAGCATAAAACAATTTAATGACCCCCGCATAAATCTTATCGTACAGGAAAACACGGGGGTAGCTACCGCTAAAAACCGCGCCATTGCCGAATGCAATGGAAAATACATCGCCATTATAGATGCCGATGACATTTGCTTGCCTGATCGCCTGGAGGCTCAATATTCTTTCTTACAGCAAAACCCCGATTACGTGCTTGTAGGCGGTTTTGTGGATATTATTGACAAAGACGGCAATTACCTGTATACTGAAAAAAAGCCCGTAACAGACCAAGAAATACGTAAACATCAAGATCAGCGAAACCCCTGGTCGCACAGCTCGGTAATGTTTACCAAAGAAGCCTTCAATAAGGTTGGAGGGTATTACGAGCCGGTGCAACAGTACATTGTTGATTATATGCTGCTTTATCAACTTTCCAGGCACGGCAAGGTGTATCAATTGCCGCAGGTAGTGGTGCAGTACCGCATTGTTCCCACAGCGCTTTCGGCCAAAGCCAACCCCAAAGAATTTGATGAAATTACCCACCGCGCCATTCGGGCCGGTAAAATGAACGCTGCCGATTTGGAGGCTATGCAACGCATCAAAAAACGAGAGAAAGCCACGGCAAATTTCAAACGGAGCATGTATCACCTCTACCTGGGGCGCAGTTTTATTTTTCATCGCTTTCAGCGGAAAGAAGCCAAGGCGCATTTGAGAAAATGCCTGGCCCTAAACCCCGGCCTGAAAATAGCCCGTGCCTACCTTTGGATGGCTACGCTGCTTCCCGCAGGGTTGATCCGGTTTATATACCAAAGCCTGAGCCCCAATGCAGGTTTAACCTACGTTAGAAAGTATGATTGAGGCCCAGTTAATTTTTGTGTGCACCGGAGCCAAACGGGCGCTTATTCAGCAACTGATAAACTCCATTAGTGGCAACACCAATGGCTTGCAGGTGTATCTTGTAGTGGTAAACCAGGGAGAGCGCTTTACCTTTAAGAGCAATGATGCCTTGTTGAACTTAAAAACCATTTCTACCGAAAGGCAAATGAGCTTGTCGGCCGCCAGAAACCTGGCCCTACGCTTTCTGTTTAGCCAGCAGGTAAACGCCCAACACATCATGTTTCCCGATGATGATAGCACCTACAGCGCTGATTTTTTCAAAGGGTATCACAAGCTGCAGAGAAATCAGGCCTACTTAGCCAAAATATGCAACGCCCAAGATGGGCGTGATTACCGTCCCTACCCGAAGGCAAATCGCTGCGGGAAAGAAAGTCTGCTGCCCTGGGTAGCCAGCGTAAGCCTGCTTTTGCCATATTCTCTGGTGAAGCAGGTGGGTTGTTTTGATGAGAAGCTGGGGGTGGGTGCCCAATGGGGCAGCTCAGAGGACCTGGATTATTATTTGCGTTGCTGCCAAGCGCAAGAGTTTTGCTTTGTCCCCCAACTCTACACGTATCACCCCTCCCGCTTTGGGAAATATGATGCGATGCCGGCCCAGGCCATAAGAAAGCGCTTTAAAGCTTACACCGATGGTTTTCTAGCCGTTCACTTCCGTTATCGCCTGGATAACAAACTGCGGTTTTTTGCGCACCGCGCCTTAGCAGGAGCGTTGCTTTGCCTGCTCAAACTTAAGTTGGGTTTATTCTGGCAGTACCTGTGGTTGTATTTTTACCGCCTCAAGGCCAAAGCGCGATTTAGAAAAATGCGCCAGCACGAACCCGAAAAACTAGCCCCGCAGCATGGAATATGATTTAATCGTTTCGGTGGTTCTGTTCCATAATAAAAAGCGCGAGGTGGAGGCCCTGGTAGCCGGTTGCAAAAGTGAAGAGCTCAAGCTGCGACTGGTTTTTGTGGACAATGCACCCGGCCATACGGACTATAATTTTAATGAATTACCTGCCTGGGCCGAGTACCGCCCCATGGCAAAAAACCTGGGCTACGGTCGTGCGCACAATCAGGTCATAATGGACCCCAAGCTTCAGAGCCGTTATTTTTTGATTGCCAACCCGGACATTCGATGCCAGGCCAATGATCTAAAGAAGATTTTTCATCAAATGGAAAATAGCCCGGAGGTGCAATTGCTCATGCCAAAAATAATTTGGCCCAACGGGCAAGACCAAGGGCTACGCAAACTTCTGCCCCAGCCCAGCGACCTATTTTTGAGGCGGTTTCTCCCCGGCTTTGTACGCAGAATTTTTGCCGACCGGGAAAAGCGCTATCAAATGCAACAGTTTAACCCCAACAAAGCGATGGAAGTGCCGGTGCTGAGCGGCTGTTTTATGTTTTGCCGCGGCCAATCCCTGCGAAAAATTGGCGGCTTTGACCCGCGCTTTTTCCTTTACCTTGAGGATGTTGACCTGTCCCGCAGGCTCGGAAAACTCGGCAAAAACCTCTATTGGCCCGAAGTTGAAGTGGTTCACGAATATCAGAAAAGCAGCTACGTTTCGTGGCGGGCTTTGAGGCTTCACTTGCAATCGGCTTGGCGGTATTTCAATAAATACGGATGGTTTTACGACAAAGAACGCAGGGAAATTAACCGCGGGGCACTTTCGCAAAAACAATGATATCAATACTTTTGGGCATTATGGAAAAGTACCAGAACCTCGTTTATTTGGCAGCCTTTCTCACTGCTTTTCTAATCACCTACTTTTCCATTCCGGCTATTATTCGTCTGTCACTGCTCAAGAAGCTTTACGATCAACCCGATGCGCGTAAAAAGCACGCCACACGCATTACACCGCTGGGCGGTATCGCCATTTTTGGCGGCTTGCTGCTCTCCTTTGTTTTTTACACCGCGCACCTGGCCAATGTTACGCTAAACTCGGTCTTGGTAGCTCTCATTATTTTGTTCATTACCGGGGTAAAAGACGATTTATATCCGCTGGTTCCCTATAAAAAACTAATCGGCCAGATATTGGCCGTAGGCGTGGTGGTAATTCAAGGTGACGTACGCCTGGTACAGCTTTACGGATTATTTGACGTCTACCAGTTGCCGTACTGGAGCAGTGTGAGCTTAACCTTCATTTTCTTTTTGGGCATTATCAATTCCTTCAACTTTCTGGATGGCATAAATGGCTTGAGCTCAATGGTTGGCATTTTGGTAAGCAGCGTGTACGCCATGCTGTTTTACAGCTTGGGCCAGGCCTTATTTTTAACGCTTGCCCTATGTATAATTGGCGCCCAGCTGGCCTTCTTGCGCTACAATTTATACCGGGCCAAAATATTTATGGGCGATACGGGCTCAATGATTCTGGGCTTTTTTGCCGCGCTGCTAACCATATACTTTTTGCAAACCAACGCACTTACAGATGATCAAATACTAGAGCATATTGACGCCATGCTTTTCGCCTTCGCCATTTTAATTTTGCCCATAGTTGACACCGCGCGGGTATTTTTTATCCGAATATTCGTGAAGCGGGTATCGCCTTTGCGGCCCGATAGAAATCACCTTCACCACGTTTTGCTTGACATAGGCCTAAGCCACTTACAAGCAACCATCTGGCTGGTAAGCCTAAACACCCTGTTAATTGCCCTAAGCTGGTTTTTGAATCCGTATATACGAGCCTCACTCCTTTTCGGCATTCTGGTTATTTTAGCCCTCGCACTATCACAAGTGCCTTTTCTAATTAAACAGAAACTAAAAGAACGTGGCCAATATCCACCATGAGCGCTCCCCCTTAAGCAGGCTGGCCTTTGCTATGCTCAGTGCCCTTTTTTTCATATTGCCTTTTGGCATCGGACCGCTTACCAATTTGCTGCTTATGGGGCTTTTGTTGCTTTTCTTTTTCATCGTTCAAAAGAAGGAGTGGCTCAATGCTTTGCGGCATCCGGTAGTGCTGTTTTCCTGGGCCTATTATGCCTGTCTGGCCCTCAGTTTAATTTATAGTAGCGATGTGGAATCTGGTTTGCGCAACCTGGAAACCAAGTTGAGTTTTTTACTGGCACCGCCCGCGATTCTCGCCTTCTCGCATCACGTAAATGCCAAAATGAAAAACCGGATGCTCAAGACCTTTGTGCTGGGCAACCTGGCCGCCTTTGGCTATATATTGGCCTACGCAACCTACCGCAGCATTCAGTATGGCGCTACCTATTACATTCCCGAAGGCGGCACCTACAAGCGCCACCTCTTTCAGTACGAAACTTTCTCAGAACCTTTGATGCATCCGGGCTACTTGGCCACTTATGCCGGTGTGGCCGCTCTTGTCTGTTTCGCATTTTTGATAAAGCGAAAGCCGGGCAAAAGATTTTGGACCATTAGTTTGGGGGTGCTTGTAATTGAAATGCTGATGTTGCAAGGCCGCATAAATATCATAGCGCTGGCTGCCGTAATTTTTTCCTTTGTATTCGTGCAGGCATTGCTTCAAAAAAATTACAAATTAATTGCCCTGCCTTTTGCCGCCCTGGTTTTAGTAGTGGCGGGAGTAGCCTTTTTAGCTTCCGCTGAATTTAAAGAACGCTATTTAGCCTTTCCCGACTTTAGCTACGACATCCGTGGAAACGATTTTAACAGCGCCACGCACCGCCTAGCCGAATGGGAGTGTGCATCATATGTAATTAAAGACAATCTAGTGTTGGGAACGGGAATAGGCGATGCCAAAAGTGAACTTATAAATGAGTACCGAGAGCAGGGCTTTAAAACCGGTTACCAGCAAGGCTACAACGCCCACAACCAATATCTGGAAACCATGCTGGCCACGGGTTTGGTTGGACTGTTGCTTCTGTTGGCATTGATTTTTTGCTATTTGTATTTCGCCTTTCGTGCCAACAACTTAGCCTTGTTGCTCACCTTGTCATTTATGGCCGTTTGCATGTTAACCGAAAGCATGCTGGAAAGAGCCTGGGCGGTTATACTGCTAAACGTCTTCTTCCCCTTCCTTATTGGCGCTGGGTTTCAAAACAAAAAACAAGGCCCAAAAGAAGCTAAAGAATAATACGCCCGCTTGCCGCTGAAGCATGCTTTCGGTGATAAAGCTCAGAAAGCAAACCAACAGAAAGAGCTTAGCCTGTGGCCCAAAGACGTTTTTTGTTTTGGCCACCAGCGGCCATAAAAAGAATAAGAGCAGCGCCACAAAGCCTGCCACCCCCATGGCTGCAAAGTGTTGTAAATAAACGTTGTGATAGTTGTGGCCCGCCTGATGTAGAAAATACGTTTGGGTGCCATCCCAATAGATAATTTCCTGTTTGCTCAGTTTTTCATCAAGAGCAAGCCCTTCGGCACCAATTCCGGTTCCGGTCCAAAAATTTTCTTCAATTACATCTACTGCTCCCGACCACAAAAACACCCTGGGGTTGGTTTGTTTATTGTCAACCATACCATCAAAGGAGCGCAATTCATGATAGGTATCAATCATGCGCGCTTTGCTACCGGGCACCAGCAGGGCAATGCCAACAAAAGCTGCAAGCAGGCCCAGAAAGGCCAGGCTGGCCCAAAGAGCGCCTCGTTTGGCACTGAGATAATTGAAGAGTACCACCCCGTTTATGACAACAAACACCACAAACTGCATGCGCACGGAAATAAACACTACCGCAATAAAAAACAGCAACAGTAGGGCTATGCTATATTTCTTGGATGCAATAAGCTTTTGCTTGCTGAGCAAGCTTTGAAAAACCAGTGCGTAACTGAAATTTACGAATAGCCCCAGGTAGTGCGGTGGAATAAGACTGAAATTCACCAGCTCTTCAAAGTAAAAAACGCTGCTGTGGGGAAAGGACAAATAGCTATACAGGCTATCGGCAAAACAAAACACTACCGACAGGGCTGTGGCCCCCACAAATGCTTTTATAACAAAGCTGATTTGCCGCGCCCGAAGCCTGGTGATTGACCCCAACATAATGGCCCAGGCCAAGAAGGGGAACTTCAGCAGGAGCTCTTCGCCTCCTTCCGCGGGAAGCGGTGTAAAAATGCTGGAAACCGCCAGTACCAGGTAGTAAAAGAGCATGAGGCCGGCTGCCCGGTTACTGAATAAGGCCCTGAACTTTTGCCCAAATTGCAAACTCACGAGCCATGCCAAACCCATAAGCATTATGCCCAGGGTAATGGGCAGCCACCGCGGCTGAAAAGGCAACAAGAGGGCGAAAAAGAGCAGGCATAATTGATAGGCCTTGCCCAACCATTGAGCCTTGGTTATTTTATTCAGCGCTTGCAACTGATAATATAGACTGGTATTGATTAGGGCTGGCTAAAATTTCAAGGGCTTTTTTCACCTCAATATCGTTTCTCAAGCTGTTGGCAATGCGCCCTCCGTTGTAATAATAGCGCGAGGCTATTTCCTCGGCCAGCAGCTGCTTGATGAATAATTTATGTTCATCCAAATCATTGGCTTTTGAGGAGTTGTAGCGCTCCTCAACCTGCCCCAGGGCCTGATCCATTTTGTCGGCATAACCCTCCTGCTTGGCGGCCTGACGCAATTGCTCAATCATTTTCCCGGTTTTGGTTGAGAAAGTGAAATTTCTAGCCTTCAACCATTGTTTAAAGGCATCATATTCAGAGTCGCTTATTTCAAAATCGCGCGCAGGGGCAATGCTGGCGTGCGTATTTTTATAATGGGTTGCGTATTCGAATAAATGCATGTCGCGATACAGAGCCAGCAGAACATCAGCGGCCTTGGGTTGCTCGGTTTTTATGTCGGGATCAATGCCTCCACCGTCATACACCGGGCGCCCGGCCTCCGTTTGAAAACGGGTGCGCAGGGAATCAGGTATTTTAGTAACACTGCCGTCATCTGCCCGCTCGGCATAATCAATGGCCTGAATAAGGCGGCCACTGGGGGTGTAGTATTTGGCGATGGTAATTTTTACTTGCGAACCGTAAGGCAGTTGACGAGTTTCCTGCACCAGTCCTTTGCCAAACGAGCGTTGACCAATCACAACCGCCCGGTCGTAATCCTGCAGGGTACCGGCCACAATTTCGGAGGCCGATGCGCTTCCCGAATTAATCAGAATGGCCAGCGGTATTTCGGTATCCTCTGCTTTTTTTAACGTTTTGTACACGCGCTGCCACTCCTCCATTTTTCCTTTGGTTTGCACCACTTCCTTGCCTTTATCAATAAAGAGGTTGGTAACATTAATGGCTTCGGCCAAAAGCCCCCCTGGGTTGTTGCGCAAATCTAAAACCAGGCCTTTGAGCGCATGCTCCTCCTCAAGGTTTTTCCAGGCTTCTTTAATTTCCATAGAAGCATTTTGGGTAAAGCTTGAAAGTGAGATATACCCCACACCGTTGTCAAGCATTCCCGCATAGGGCACGCTGTTTACGTGTACTTCCTCGCGCTCAATTTCTTTGGTGATCACTTGATCGTTCCGTTTTATTTCAATGCTGAATGTAGTGCCGGGCGCGCCTTTTAAAATTTCGCTCACCTGGTCGGTGCTTCTGCCTTTTACCGATTCTCCATCAATGCTCAGAATTATATCTCCAGCCTGGAGGCCGGCTTTGTCTGCCGCAAAGCCTTGGTACGGAGCCGCAATAAACATTTTGCCATCGTGTGCGCGAATGCTGGCCCCGATGCCCCCGTAATTTCCCGTATGCTGGATTTTAAAATCCTCAACCCTTTCTTCCGGGATGTAATTGGTATAGGGATCTAATGACGACAGCATGGATGTAATGGCCTCTTCCATAAGCTTCCCGGGCTCGGTATCATCAACGTAGTACAGGCTTATTTCCTTGAATACGTTGGTGAAAATGTCGAGCTGTTTGCTAATTTCAAAATAGTTGGGGGTAAAGGCCATGGTGGCAATCAAGGCCACACCCGCCAACATGCCTGCTAAAAAATTGGGTATTTTTCTCTTGAACATAGCAAGTTATTTAAAGCGAAGTTAACGGAATAAATGCTCTTTTAAGGGCTTTGATTGTTTAAGCGCTTAATTATTTGAAGCATGGCTTTCTCAATTGTGGCAAAGTCTAATTCTGAATTTGACATATAAATAAACAGGAAGCCACTACCCCGTATCTGCAGAGCGTGTTTGTTGAGACGATAAGCCTCGCGCATTCTCCTTTTTAACAGATTGCGTTGTGCGGCACGCTTGAATTTTTTCTTGCTTACCGAAAAAGCCGCCCGGTTGAGTGCATCACCATACGCGCCCAATGCGTACCGAAGGGCCACAGGATAAACCGCCAGGTTTTTCCCGTGTTGGAAAAGTTCCTGGATATCCTTTTGCTTTTTAAGCTTTTCTTGTTTGCCGAAAGTTTGGCGCATGGTGCAAGTTAACGAAGCACCGGGTAAAGCTTACTTCTTGTTTTCGTTTTTGATAAAATCTTCCAGCGCCATGGTCATTGAAGGGAATTTAGGCGTTGGCGTCTTGATGTCAATGCGCAAGCCGGCCTCCTCAATGGCCTTGTGTGTGGTGGTACCAAACGCTGCTATTCTAGTTTCGCCCTGCTCAAAATCGGGGAAGTTTTCGAACAGCGATTTAATACCGGAAGGGCTAAAGAATACCAGTATGTCGTACTTAACATCCGCCAGGTGCGACAAGTCGCTGCTAACGGTATTATACATTATAGCCCGGGTGTAATTTACCTTACAATCCTTGAGCGTGCGCGGAACTTCGGGCTTAAGAATATCACTTGTGGGCAGTAAAAACTTTTCGTTTTTATGCTTTTTAAGCAGTGGGGCAAGCTCAGAGAAGGTGGCGTTACCAAAGTAAATTTTGCGCTTTCGGTACACCACGTATTTCTGCAAATAGTAAGCAATAGCTTCGCTGGTACAGAAATACTTCATCTCATTGGGTACGGTAAAGCGCAACTCTTCCGCTATTCTGAAAAAGTGGTCCACCGCGTTTCTACTGGTGAGAATTACCGCTGTATGTGCAGGTACGTTAACCTTTTGCTTTCTCACCTCGGCCACATCCACACCCTCAACGTGGATGAAGGGAATGAAGTCAATTTTAATTTTGTGCTTTTCGGCCAAATCAAAATAGGGCGAGTTTTCTGTTTGCGGTTGAGGTTGAGAAACAAGAATAGACTTTACCTTCACAAGATTACTTTTTTAAAAGGTTTAAAACCATAAAGTACTGGTTTTAAATAAGTTGCAAACTCATCACCAGATACATTATCGGGATTATTTCCAGCGCGCAAAGGTATAAAATATTATATCCAATTTTGGGTGGTAGTTTCATTATAATTTCTGCGGTGCGAAATAGGGCCAAAATAATGCCCAATACAGCCAAAACAATTAAGGCATAAGCCAGTACAGTGTTAAAAATTGGCTGATACGTAAGTACCGTAGCGAGGGGAAAAAAAGGCAGGGCCAGCCACGAAAAATATGCGAAAAACCTATTTTGCGAGGTAGCAATGGGCTCGGTTAATTGAAATACCGATCCCACCAAGGCGCCCAGCAAAGACTTAAATAAAATAAACACCGCCAGAATCAAAACGATGCGCGCCACAATGTGCCAGCCATCGGCCTTAATGGGTTGGGAGTGCCACACTTGCCTAAGCAAGTAAATGGTAAGTGCCGAAATGAGCAAGGCCGCAAAGCTCAATAAAAAATCAGCCAGGCGTTTGCTTTGAATGGGGTTGAAATTGCTTGCTATTTCTGCCGACTTCACGTGCCAGGGCAGCCTTACAAACTCCCGCACCCGCTCCGGAGCATTGATCCGCGCTACAACAAAAGCTAAAAACGATAGTACCAGTATGGCCAGTATCCAATCGGTATTCCTTTGCTGCAATTCGGCTAGTTCCATTTGGCAGCAAAGGTATAAACCGTATTGTTAACGCTTTCTAAATTTTAAGCTCGCTCCGTTTGCAGTTTTTAAAAAATAGGTTCCCGCACTCAACTCCTGAAAATCCAATTGCCAGTGTAGCGCGTCCAGCTTGTTCTTGGCATCAACGGTTAATTGCAGCTTGCCCTGCGAATCAAACACCTGCAATGGGCCCGAAACACTTTCCGCAGTAGCGAGTATAGCCTGGTTTTGCACCGGATTGGGATAAAGCTGCAGGGTATTTAAGCTTTGCGCAGATAAACCAATGTTGTTTTGCTTGTTGAGCACCAGCGTTTGGGTGGCAATTACATCGCCCGAGGTACCGCCATTGTTGTTGGCAAAATTTACCGCTGCGTAAACCGTGGCCTGATCGGCTGCGGTACCGCTGTTCCAGTCGAAACTCCAGGTTTTAGTGCCATTGCTGGGCGTGGTACCCGCAAATTGGTGCGTAATATAATTGCCCGACTTCCGCGTATCGGTGCTGTTTGACACGCTCACGGTTCCGGCAAAGCCCGACCCTGTAGCGGCCTCAACGCTGGCTTGAAAACCCATTCTATTTACGTTTCGCCCACCGGCATCGGCCGTAATGTCAATTTTATAATTGGTGTTTTCAGCAAAACCGGTGGCCGGAATATCAGTACTTATACTCACGGTTTCAGTACTTATTGCAGGGCCGTTATGACAGCCCGAGCGAGCACAGGTGTTGCCATTGCTGGCCGGTGAACCACTGCTGCCCTGCGGAGCACCCGAAGAATTTGTAATAGCTTCCGTTCCCAAAAAGCAGCAGAAAGCTGATGTTAAAAGTATCGCTAAGTAATTTTTCTTCATTTTTATAGAGATTTAAATACTGCATAAAAATAATCTTCTCTCGCAAATTTTAACTTTGCTTCAAATATTAATTCTTGATGAACAAAGACTTGTTTGAGGCCCCCGACTATTACCTGGTTGATGAAATGCTGAGTGAAGAGCACAAATTGGTGCGCGACTCAACGCGTAGTTGGGTTAAGAAGGAGGTTAGTCCGGTAATTGAAGAATATGCCCAAAAGGCAAAGTTTCCCAAACATCTTGTAGAAGGCCTGGCCGAAGTAGGTGCCTTTGGACCTTATATACCGGAGGAATACGGTGGCGCTGGTTTGGATCAAATTTCATACGGCCTTATGATGCAGGAAATAGAGCGTGGCGATTCTGGCGTGCGCTCAACCTGCTCGGTACAAAGCAGCCTGGTGATGTACCCCATTTACGCCTACGGCAATGAAGAGCAACGAAAAAAATATTTACCCAAACTGGCCAGCGGTGAGTTTTTGGGCGCCTTCGGTTTAACCGAACCCAACCACGGCTCAAACCCCGGTGGCATGACCACCAACTACAAAGACAAAGGCGATCACTATTTGCTTAACGGAGCCAAAATGTGGATCTCAAACGCGCCCTTTTGCGATATAGCGGTGGTTTGGGCCAAAA